GGCAGAGATGTGGAGGTGCCGGATTGTTTTAGTGAATTTCATGATTATTTATTTGTTTATTTATTTATTTATTTTTTTCCTGAAGGTTTACCCTCATGGCTCCGGACCTCCTGAGGGCAGACAGTCCAGAGAACATCTACTTACAGGCAGATGGACTTACCACCCCCATCACTATCTCCGTCACCATAATGGACTTCACTAAAACAATCCGGCTCCTCCAAGTCTCTGCCACACTTGATCAAGAAAATGGTTTCTACTCTCTTAAAACCATACAGGTGACTCAGAGGGCCTTAATGTAAACCAGACTGACTCAGGTTTACACTTAGTCATGGTTTAGCATATTCACTTAAACTCTTAATGACAAAACATTGTAAATTATTGGACAGTAGCATATGAGGTTTAGATGGTTTTAAAATTAATATTATTATTATTTTTATAATGCATATCTTTCCAAATATTCCATAAAACATAATGCTGTGCCTTACTTTTATCCCAGCTTTCATCTGATCATTTGAATCGAGAGGAGAAGAAGAACAAGTTTGTGTATTTGATAGCAAACTTTGAGGGTTTCTACTCAGAGCAGAGACTCGTGATGGTGTCCTTCCACTCCGGGTACATCTTCATCCAAACCGACAAACCTATCTACAACCCGGGAGACAATGGTGAGAGCAACACACACAAACTCATAATCAAGTATTATCAGGTTGTATTTTCAGTCGTGCAACCTTTCAAAAGTGTGACAGTTTTATCTTTTCTGGTGTAATTGTCATTGATGGAAGTGTTTTTACTCTCTCACCAGTTCGATTCAGAACCTTTGTGTCCTCTCCGTTCTTTAAGGCCTTGGACAGCTCCATCACTATAGATATCCAGGTAAAATTTATTATCAATGATACTTAAAATGTGAATTTAAAAAATTGATTTGCCTAATACTTTTTTCTCGTCAAAATTATTTGATATGTTTGTAATAAGGTGGTTCTTGTAAATAATTAGGTCTAAAACTTTTGACTTGTGATCTAAATCATCTGGTGGATGACGATAAATTCCTTAGATTTGTCTGATCGTGACTCGTGTTTCAGAATCCTGACGGTGTGGTGGTTAAACAGCTCTCCAGGACCAGAGCCATTCATGGTGTCTTCACAGACACGTTTCCTCTCTCTGAAGTCGTCAAGTAAGATCAACCCAAATGTGTTCTTGTGTTCTGGCTCCTTCTGTTACGTTTGAGCATTTCATATTCCCCATCCATCCATCATCTTTTACCCGCTTCTTCCATTTTGAGTCATGGGGGTCGCCGGTGCCCATGTCCGGCAATCACTGTGCGAGGGGCGGGGTACACCCTGGACCGGTCGCAAGTCCATCACAGGGCCTCATTTTCCCCAATAAAACATTTAATTTTACCATTGGTCATTTCAACCAAACCCATTAAAATTAAAGCTTCACTTACAAGTTTTTCAAAAGTTCATTTTTTAACCTAACATTGTTCACTAAAATTTATATGTCTGTGCTTCTGAATAACATTACAGATTTTATTCTTCTTTTCATTTTATAACTTGTTCATACAGTGTTGAAAAGGAAAAGCCCTCATAGGTTACATTATGTTGTAACTGTTAAAAAATCATTACATTGTTGGAAATAGGCTGAATATTTTCATTTAATTAATCCTATAAAGTAACTTTTAATACAGACTGATCAAAAACATGCATGTTAGTCTGCCTCAGTCTGCCTCAGGTCCAGGTCTCCCTTGCAAAAGAGATCTGTGATCTCAATGGTATTCGCCTGGTTAAATAAAGGTTAATAAATAAACATGTTTTTTTTTGTGGTGCCACTCGCCCCAGTTTAAGTTGTGCAATGTGTGTAAACAAAGGGAAGCTCTCTGAGAAACAAAAATCACTCCCTGCAAGTTAGTTTGTATGAATAATAAAAAAAGCATAAAATAGCTAAATAGTAGTTAAAATAACTGAAAGTAGCAGAAAGGAGCATAACAAGCTGAATTTAAATTAGTAGAAAGAAGTTAATTAGGCTGAAAGTAGCAGAAGTTACCACAAAAAACTTGAATCTATCTGAAAGCGCCTGAACTTAACTAAAAATTACTACCAAGGTAGCTGAAAATGTAGAACAAGCTTAAATAAGTAGAATAAAACAGAATGAACACATGTTCTCCCAATTAAGCTGAAAGAAGCAGAAATGAGCACAAAAAAGTGGAGATTAACTGGAACACCCCCCCCCCCCCCCTCCCCGAGATTAGCAAAAATAAAAAAACAGCTGAAAAGTAGCTTAAAAGGCAGAAAGAAGCTTACATTACCAGAAGGAAGTGGAGAGAGCACATTTTTGCTGAATTTGAATTTGGTTGATAAAAGTTGAAATGAGTGCAACAAATGTGGAGTTAGCTGAAAAAAGCTAAAATTAGCATAAAACAGCTAAATAGTAGCTGAAGCTAGTAGAAATAAGCTGAAAGGAGCATAACAAGCGGAAATTAGCAAAAAGAAGTTAGAAGAAGCACAAAAATGTTGTAGTTAGCAGGAAAAAAAATCAGAAAGGGTCGCAAAACAGCTGAATGTTGATGAAACTAAGTTTAAGGAAGCTGAAATAAGCAGAACCAGAACAAAATGCAAAAGGAGCAGTAAAAGGTTGTAAACAGATCTAAAGATTTGAAGGATGTAAAATGAGCTCAATTCATTTCTTATGAAAAAAAATGACAGAAAAGGCTAAATATTTCAAAAAGCTAAAGTTGCACCAATACCAAAAGTCATAGCAGGATTGTTCTGGAAGAGCTGAACATTTTGATTTATGATTTGTTGAAATGGCTTCAAAACTGCAGGACGAGAGAAGGAAAGTAGATCACAATAATGTGAATGCTTCATTAACATTCTTACTTTTACATATTATATAGGAATACATTTATCAAGTTTCTTTTAATAAAATATATCTATAAAACTTCAAAATAACTTCACATTTGTGATTAATCTACATTAGTTTTAATAAAATGTTTTAATGCAAAGCAAAGTTTCAGAGTTTAAAAATGGACGCCATCTTAAAAAGATTTGCAGCAGATTTGTGGGAAATTTAGCTAATAATAAAATAATAATAATGGAAAAAATAAATAACAGAGGCACTCTGCTGTTTTAAAACTATGGTCTTAATATATTTATTGAATATTATATATAGTGCTTATATTTTTGTCTTTCTGTAATGTGACTGACTGGTTTCCAGTGAAGGGATCTGGGTGGTGACAGCAAAGTTTGACCACTGGCAGCAGAACACATTCACCTCCCAGTTTGAGGTGAAGAAATATGGTAGGTGACGTTAAAAAGTTTATTCTTGTTTCTCTATGCGGCAATTTGCAAAAATCATTTTTTAATAATTAGTTTTTAAAGAGGACAAGATCTTAAGACTTTCTGGCCATATGTTATAATTTTTTTTAGACATTTTTTTTTATTTTATGGAACTTTATTTGCTGAGCCACATAACTTAGGCATATTACTATTTCAAACATAAAAGCAGGACCTAACTCAAGGGATGAGCCATCTTAGTAGACAACATATTTAAACTATGCCATTAGGGGCTCGTTAGGAGCAGCCTTTTGCAAAAACACAATTGTTTTCATGTCTTTAGTTGTTTCCACAAATGTACAAACACAGTATTTTATCTCATAATGGTGATTACAGCTGAGCTATTTCTGGAAACTCGATGCTGAAAGATAAACTTTAACATACATTCAGAAAATGTGGAGAGCAAATTATTAAGACCACTTTTTAGAAGTATGCAAGACAGTCAGATGTTGAAGAAAAAATAAATAAATGGCATTTCCTGCAGAAATGCGGTGTGAATGCTTATTGCTGAAAAACAGCTGAAATTAGTTTTAAAAAACATGCTAAAATGAAGTTGAAATGAAAGAACAAGCCTAAATTGGCCTAAAAGGCAGATTGAACATAGTTGCTGAATTAGGTTTAAATGGGCAGAAATTAGCAAAAAAACTGGAATAAAAAAAAAGAAAATTAGCAAAAAACATCTAACATAGCTGAAAATTCAGAAAAAAGCTTAACCTACAAGAAGGAAGTGAAAAGTCAAGTCAAGTCACATTTATTTATATAGCACATTTAAAACAGTAACTGTTATCAAAGTGCTTACCAAAAAAGATCACAGCATCAAATATTAATAACAACATATTACAGCAACATGAATAAAAGCATAAAAACAATTAAATATAATGAGAAACAATGAAATACTAAAAGAGCTGAAATGATATTTAAAAAAAAGTTTAATTAGCTGAAAAGTTAAAATTTGCATAAAACAGCTAAATAATAGCTGAAATAGCAGAAAAAGTAGAAACTAACTGAAAAATCTGAAAGCAGCACAACAAGCAGAAATTAGCAGAACGAAGGTAATTAGGCTGAAAGCAGCAGAAATTACCACAAAAACTTGAATTTAGCTGATAACAGCTGATATTAGCTAAAAATGCTAAAAGCTGAAAAGGTAGAACAAGCTTAAATTAGCAGAAGAAAACTTAAAGAACATGTGTGCCTAATTGGGCTGAAAGAAGCAGAAAAAAAGTGGAAATTATCTGGAAAACGCTGAAATTGGCAAGATCAGCAACAACAAAAAGCTAAACAGGCACGAAAGAAGCTGAAATTAAGGAGGACAAGGAGAGAGCACATTTTTGCTGAATTAGGCTGAAAAAATGTAAATGTTTGCAAAAAATGTGGAATTAGTATAATAATAATAATAATAATTAATAATTTATTATAATAATAATTAGTATATTAAAAGTTCTAGAATTGCGCCGCTCAAGGTGGCTGCATGTTGGAGCAGCTCTGTTAATTTCATTCTGAGATTTTACTTTTGGAAACTTTAATTCCTCTTTTTCTGGATGTAAGTCACATTTTTTGGATGATTGTTTCCTCTGGTATTGGATGCTGTGCAGCTGGAAGGATTTTTACCGAAACTTTTTTTAGTTTTGGAAATTTGTTATGATGCGTAACCATGGCAACAAGGCAGTTTTCTACAACCAACAGCAGCTGATTAACATCTCAAAAGCTCAAATAATATCTCAACTACAGCCCCAAATCTCAAATGAGTTGAAAGGATGTTCTGTGGATGCATTCCCATCTACCTGCCAGCTGTGCTTGAGTTTCCTGACCACAGAGATCCTGGAACTAGCAGGAAACACGGCTCATGACAGTGGAAGGACAAGATCGTCCCTTGGCATCTACGGTTGGCTGTAGGAGTTCAGCCCGGCATTCGGGCGGTCCTACAGCCCGGGGGAACCGAGAGGCCTGCTGAGTCTGGGTGGACGGATCGGACAGCATCTGCAGCCAGTTTCTTAGGATCCACTGTGGGATGGACCTTTACAAGAGATCCTGTCTACAGCCATCAGTATCTATAACATCTCTTAATGAAAAGAGGATAACGAGTTACAACAACAAATAATTTCCCTTTGGGATTAATAAAGTATTTTTGAATTTAATTGAATTAGCTGAAAAGGCTTAAATTAGCATAAAAAAAAACAACAATAGCTGAAATAGAACAAGCTGAAACTTGCAGAGATTAGCTGAAAGGGTCATAAACTGAAATTAGCAGAAAGATGCTAGAAGAAGCACAAGAATGTTGTAGTTAGCAGAAATAATCTGAAAAGAGCACAACAGCTGAAAAAACTGCTGAAAATAGCTGAAAGGAAGATGAAAGAAGCTGAACCAGAACGAAATGTGAAAGGAGTAGTAAAAGGTTGTAAACAGATCTAAAGATTTGAAGGATGTAAAATGAGCTCCGTTCATTTTCAATGAGAAAAAAAAAGGCAGAAAAGGTTAAATATTACAAAAAACAAAAGTTTCACCAATATTGAAAGTCATAGCAGGGTTGTCCTGATTTGTTGAAATAGCTTGAAAATTGCAGGACAAGAATTGCTCCAAAAACGTGTGGAAGAAAAATGGACCACAATAGTGTGAATGCTTCATAAACATTCACACAATAAAAAGCAAGAACTAACAATGAATATTGCTCTGAAATGTTTTCACTCAGAATGTCACATTTCGAACATTAAATGCTTTTATTTTATGTCTCACTTTTCCAGTTCTTCCTGCCTTCAATGTTACCCTGACACCGAAGAAGTCTTTCCTCAGTTTAGATGATGATGAACTAGTTGTAGAAATTTCTGCAAGGTCAGTCTCATGCTCAAATACATTAAAAGAGCAGTTTCTAAACACTTCTGCGCAATTCATTTGCTTCCTTTTAAATAAAACTTGAGGAAAAGCATTATTGTAATTGTAAGAAACATCTGACAGGTAATCCGTTATTTTTCATTTTAGTTATCTGTACAAGGAGCCTGTACAGGGAACGGCTTATGTTTCGTTTGGAGTGAAAATCAACCAGGAGATGAAAAGATTACCATCAGTGAAGCATGTGTCAAATGTAAGTTTGACCCAGCTGCTTTTACTTTTATAAGGTTTTCAGTCTTGTTGTATGTTCTATCTAACGATGGATGGATGGATGGATGGATCAATGGATGGATGGATAGATGGATAGATAGATGGATAGATAGTTGTGTTTTTGGCAGACATAATCCCGGACGAGCCCCAATTAATATATGTTACGCCCACCAAAGACACAACATATTAAAGGAGGGCACAGGGCTCACAAATAGGGGTTCAAACATTCAATTTATTCAGCCATTTCCTTCAGGAAAAGAAAAAAAGAACCCCAATACCCATGTCCAACCAAAAAAAGGACACAAAAACCCAAATTATCAATTTAAAGCTGGACCCTGGTGACCTGGTCAAACAGAACAAAAAACGTACCACAGCGGGCCAACCCTATACAGGGCCGTCGAAGCCACTGGGTACTGTATTGTATTATGTGAACAATGTGTTGCATTTATAAAACCAAAATGACGTTTTCTTCAAGAATTTTCTTCATGGAAGAGGAAAAATAGTTGTTGCTTCAGACTCTTTTCTGCTGAGTTTGTTGTATCTTACCCCTCAATGCTTTTGTCGCTTATTATCAAAAGGTATGGTAAAAATAAAGTTTTTCTTAGCTATTGATCTTAAAACGCAACTGATTTCCTTTACATCAAATCCATAATCCTGTGCTCCAGACAAAAGCTCCTCTGCATTCCTATTTACAGATCCAACTATTAGTGCACACTTCCACCACACACTATGAAATGGAGAGCTTTTAAGACGCAAACTGTTTAAAACAAACAAAAAAATATGGCAGGAAAATTTTTGCTTGTTTTTGTTTCATAAAATGAACGTATTATCTTCTCTTGGTTCATGCAGCTTGAAGGAGGAACAGTCTCACTGAGGATGGACGAGATCAAGGCAGTTTACCCTGACATTAAATCTTTGGTGGGTAACTCTGTGTATGTGAAGGCATCTGTGCTCACCAAAACAGGTAAGAACCCAAAGGGAATCCAGTTTTAAAACAAAACATATGAATGATTAATAAAACTAATAACATTTTTAAAAAATTCTAATAAAAACACAGAGATAGCATCTGAGTGCTACGTATTTTATTAGGTTAAAATGGAAAATGGTGTGTGCCTATGTTAATCTGTCCTTTACGAGTTGTGGTTTATTGCTTTGAAATTCAACCAAGAATGATTTAAAACAAACAAAAACCTCCAGTATGTTGTAATCTGACCCGAGTTTATCAGAATTCATGGAGTCATGAGCGCAACGCTGCCATGCAATCTGGGGTCAATGTGCCATTTGGCCCCACGGACAAACCAAAGTTTCACTGTTAAGTCATAATTTGGAGGTTCTTCTAATGCTTGGAGATGTTTGGAAATGTTACTTTTCATTTCTTACTGATATTAAAATCAACAGTTCAAGATAGATAGACAGACAGGTGGCTGGCTGGATGAAGACGGAGAGACAGTGAGATAGATTGATAGATAGGTAGGTAGGTTAATTGGTTAATAGATTAATAGAAACAAACATACTTTATTAATCGCAGGGGGAAATTTGAGGCATCTACTAGCTGTTCTAATTATACAGAAAAAAACACATGAAATAATAAAAAAAAGAAGCATAATACACAAATTGTGAAAAAGACTATGCACAAGGTAGTAGGTAGTACTACATTCATGATTAACCTATATCTATATGTAAGTACACATATACATGATATATGCATATATACATGTATATATACATACACATACATGCTGTAAGTGCCGCAGAGCAAATGCAATGCAAATTCAAAGATTTTCTTAGCTCAGTATTGGATCCTAAAGGAAATATTTCAATTTGATGGCCATAAAATCTGTTTAGTGCTCATTAATAAATCTTTACTTTTATTTGACTTGAGATTTTTGCCCACATAGGAAGTGATCTGGTCGAGGCTGAAAAGACGGGCATTAAAATCGTCGAGTCCCCATACGTCGTCTCCTTCAAGGACATGCCGAAGTACTTCAAACCAGGCCTGCCGCTGGACCTCACAGTCAGTACTGTCCTGTGTTTTCACTCTGTTGCAAAGAGTTGTTTAAGTTTGATAAATCTAGAACAATCCTCCAATTTCTGTAGATTCTGGTGAGCAACCATGATGGTTCTCCGGCTCATAACGTCTTGGTGAAGCTAACTTTTCTGGACACGCCGCTGATCGCCTCATCAGGCTCTGCCAGAGCTAGCATCAACATGCCCAGCGACCACAGACCACAAACCATTACTGTTAGTACAACTGCATGAGGATTTGAGCTGCAAGACACTTTAATAACTTGTAGTTGTCATATTACGCTTTACTTTTGGTTGTCTTATAATTACACTTTATGTTGAAATTGAAGTATAAAACTCTAGATGTGTCATTTAAGAAAAGCTCTTTTTTTTCTCCCTTCATTAATATTTTAACGTTTCCACTCTTAGTTGCATGTTGTCTACTCCTGCAGTTCCAGGACATTACTACTGACAAATTATTATTTTAATTTTTTTCAGGCTGAGACGGCACAGGCTGACTTGAGACCCGATCAGCAGGCCTCCAAACAGATCACTCTTCATCCCTATGTCCCCTTCGACCAAAATCAGAAAAACTTCCTTTACATCTCCACAGGAACCAACACAGTGTCTGTCGGAGAAGTCCTGTCTCTACGGTTCTCTGTCAGTTTATCTGACCAGATGAACAGAGAACACATCAAATACATAACTTACCTGGTGAGATGAGAGCACATATTCATTGTCCGCATGGAAATCAAAAAGGAAGTGTAACAATCACCTGAAAGAGCCACATTATGTATTAATTCCTCATTATTTCCTCTGCAGGTGCTCAATAAAGGTAAAATCATATTAGCTAAACGTGAGGATATAACGGACCAGCTGGTCACCAGCGTTACATTATTTGTAACGTCGGAGATGATGCCATCGTTTCGTATTGTGGCATTCTACGGTATTCCCTGGGTAGGACGGGAGGAAGTGGTCTCTGACTCCGTCTGGATAGATGTGGTGGATACATGTGTCGGAAGCGTGAGTATTTAGATCTCTCTTAAAAGTTGAGCCTCCATCTTCAAAAAAAACAAAGTACAGTTTTGATCTCAAGGTATTTCAGACAGTAAAGGTGAAAGGAGGTGCAGTTTTTGTGCATCAAGGTGCAATGTAAAAAAATAATCTCATGGAAAATCTGAAAACAACAGTTTACATACTGAAGACAGTTATCCTACATTACAATTATCTAAGGGAAACTTTGATCCAAAGCAGCTTACAAATGAAAGGGTTGCCAACTTCTGATACAAGGGTGCAGTGGGGGGCTGGCCATCGGGAGCACCAAGACATTTCTCGGTGGCCTGGCCCGCTCAGTGGTTGCCGAGGGGCTGGACTAAAGGCTCTGTTCAGGTCATGCTTGATTATTTTAAATAAACAAGCCACTTTTGCCCAGGCTCGCTCCGGTGCCACAAGCACCCCTGCCCCTCCCTTCCCTTTGAGGTTGTGCCTGTGACTTAGCAGAGACACACACAACAGGTTGCGCGTCCACCCCTATGGGCTCGCGCTCATGAGGGTTACATGTACGTGCGGCACTTACATCTCTGTATGTCCATCTTTTCTCCGGTTTGAGCGAGAGAGATGGCCAAAGAAGAGGGAAAGTGGAGCAGAGAGTGAGAGGATGAAAAAGAGAAAAGCACTGACTGCTGATGCAGCAAAGTCCAGTAAATTAATGTTTGTTCATAAGGGAGCTGGTAAGACAAACACTAATGGTGAGAAGTGAAAACTCTGGCATAGCCCATCAGCACAGCTAGCTTAAGAGGTTAGTTCCGCTTTGAGGGACCGAAGTGGGCCAAAACTTAATAGAACAAATGTTTTAAGTTTTTACAGAGGAAATTTCAAATTTTAGAATATGGTTAATGAATAGAATCTGAAAAGAAAAGTTGAATGCTGCAATTGCCAGGAATTCAGATTGTGTACCCTTCATAAACTCCACTAATAAATTATCTGAATATTAAAATCCTTGTATTAGGCTACATTATTTTATCTAGCCGTTATTTTACTAGGTAAAGTCCCATTGAGATTAAGAACATATTTGTTGTTGTATGAACGTAGTCAATACATATAAATAGTTAATTATTGAAAATGAATAGATGGGAAATTATGACATGTAATTCAGACAGTGCCTGAGCGTTTAGAGGGTGGATACAGTTTATTCCATTTCAAAAACTAAATAAAGTTTGGAAAAACATAAAAGATGACAAAGGCGTACCTCATGTTCATCTGTACAAAGGTAACTGCAGGTAAATCCTCCATTTTCATCATTACATTGTATGCTTAATGGTTAAATTAAAGGTTAATGCTTAAAGCTAGTGATGCTTTATTTCGTCTGTTTTATATGTAGATATACTGGTATTTTGTAACTTCTGGTTGCATACTGTAAGTTTAGTCTTTGTTAAAACTAAACTGATTTTGTACAAAGCATTTAATTGGTTGTGTAATGTAAAATTTACACTCTTACATACTGAGTTTCATTGTGAGGTGAAATTTCTCTATGTTGCTCTGCGGCATGAAAATATCCACTGCATTAACTATTTGAAGTTATTAGTAGCTTGGAATTTTTTGTTTCATTTTATTTTTTACTTGTCTTCTTTGCCTTAATGTTGGCTGATAAAGCAGAAGTGGCTCACTAAATGCCTCAGGTAACGCCGTGAGCTTCATTACCTCCACCATTACAGCTTTTTGTTTGTTTGTTCGAGGTTAGCTCACCCTGGGTTACATTTCCTCATGGATAGAGCAATCTTACCGTTCACATAAAATATTTGATAATCTTCTTATAGAAACAATTCCTGAATCTTGTTCATACTGTGTTAAAGCTACATGTTTGTTTCTTGACCCTACAACTGGCTAGGATGCGTGTGGAGCGTGCTCTATTCACACAAGGAGAGCTGTTGGCCAGGCTCCTTGTTGTGTCATTAACTCTAAAATACTTATTGAATATAGTGTTTACTTATGTAGGTAAAACTAGATGTTAAACAACCTATTAAAATACACCAGAATGCAGGAAATGGCATCTACTTTATTCAAAAATTTCGGGAGGAGGAACCCCAGACACCCCCCCACCAGTGTGCCCCCACATCACATTACAAATGCTTCTGATGCCAGTGGCCAACGCGTTACTAACCAAGTACACATATGGTGTCATATGATGTTCAAAATGCGCCCGACTTAACTCGGTCCTTTTTTTTTTCCATTCAACCTTTATTTATGCAGGTTAATCCCATTGAGCCTCGGGGACTCATTTACAAGAGAGACGTAGAGTCTTGAGAGAGAGAGAGAGAGAGAGAGAGAGAGTCTTGGTGGTTTGCGTTAATCTGGTGGTGGTAGTGGCCTGGAATGGTATCAAATACCTGACCTGGATTATTGTCCCAGTCTTCCCCTGCAAGGGTGGCAATATTTGCAGCTTAATTAGACTCAATGAGTCAAAGCTTCCCGCTGCTGCACTTCACATTTGTCATGCTTTTGTGCTTTTTGTTTTAGTTTTTGACATTTCAGTTCATCCTATTTCTAAGTTTTATTATGTTTGGATTAAGTTATTTTATCCTATTATGCCTCAAGTTCCTCACTCATCTGGTTTTCCATCTGTAGTCAGTAAGTATTTTTTGTACAGGTCCTTCTCAAAAAATTAGCATATTGTGATAAAGGTAATTATTTTCCATAATGTAATGATAAAAATTAAACTTTCATATATTTCAGATTCATTGCACACCAACTGAAATATTTC